AAAGGTACTCCAAAACGACAGAAGACTTCATGAACTAGTTTATCTGCAATTGTTGAAGCTTCTTGATTTGGAATGGCGAAGACTTCTGGCCACTTAGTGAAGTAATGCATCACAACCATGAAATACTTGTTACCACTTTCACTTTCCGGAAACGGCCCCGCAACGTCAATGGCTATCCTCTCCCATGGTGCACCAACATTGTACAATTTTAATGCGCCTCTACTACGAATTTGAGGTCCCTTTACGGCCGCACAACTTGTACATTTGCGGCACCAGTCCTCGACATCGTCACGACAGTGGACCCAGTAAAACCGTTCTCGGATTTTCAGTAGAGTTCGTTTAACTCCCAGGTGGCCTCCTGAACAACCACTATGGTACAGCTGTAGAACATCCGGTACTTTAGCCTTAGGGACAACCATTTGCAAATGACAACTGTCTCCCCGACCATTTTCCCATTTACGGCACAGGACTCCATCCTGAATCAGCAAGCTGTCCCATTGTGCCCAATAGCTTTTCGTGGTCGAACTCATTGCTGAGACGTCGCTCCACTTGGGCTTAGGAGCACTGGCCTTCATCCATTCCAGAATCGGCTTAATATCCGAATCTTCCTGCTGTGCATGTAGTAGGCTGTCCTTCCACTCATTGCTGAGCTGGTCTGTCCTGAGCATCCTCACAGATACCACTTCCTTACCCTCTTGCCTAGTACAATGCTTGCAATCTTCAGGGCAAGGTCTTCTTGACAATGCATCTGCATTGCCATGAGATTTCCCGCTGCGATGTTCGATCACAAAGTCGTATTCCTGCAGTAGTTCAATCCATCTCGCAACTTGTCCTTCCGGATTTTTGAACTGCAATAGCCATTTCAGTGCAGCATGGTCAGTTCGTAAGTGGAATTTCCGCCCTAGAAGATATTTGTTAAAATGCTGCAAGGACTTTACCACAGCAAGCAATTTGCGTCTTGTGACACAGTAGTTCCTTTCCGGCTTTGACAATGACTTGCTGAAGTACGCTATCACAATCTCTTGGTCACCATTCCGTTGAGACAACACACCGCCAAGTCCTATATCACTTGCGTCTGTGTCAACTATGAATTCCTTGCCCGCATCAGGGTACCCCAAAATAGGTGTTTTGCACAGACGGTTCTTGAGCTCCTGGAATGCAATATCGCAACTTTCATCCCAGCAGAAATGTCGCTTCTCCTCGGTTAGCTTGTGCAGAGGTTTGGCTATATCTGCAAAGTTCTTCACAAATCGCCGATAATAAGAGCACAAACCCAAAAATGCTCTAACCTGTGTCTTGTCTTTTGGAACCGGCCACTCCTTGACAGCGGCAATTTTTTCTGGATCCGTGCGGATACCTTCTTCCGACACTACATACCCCAAAAACTAACTTACCGTTTGAATAGTGAGCACTTCTTTGGACTCAACTTGAGGTTGGCACTCTGGATCTTTATGAGCACGCGTTCCAGGTTTTGAAGGTGTTCCTCAAACGTAGGGCCTACGATGATGATGTCATCCAAATAGACCAGACAGGCATCTCCAATTAGCCCGGTAAGTACAAGCTCCATCAATCTTTCAAACGTTGCTGGAGCATTGCACAATCCAAACGGCATGACTTTAAATTGCCACAGACCCTTTCCTGTGGAGAATGCAGTTTTCTCCTTGTCCTTAGGGTCAATTTCAACCTGCCAGTAGCTACTTTTCAGGTCCAGCGTACTAAACCACTTTACGCCTGTGAGCATGTCCAGCGTGTCATCAATTCTAGGCAAAGGATAGCTGTCCTTCTTCGTAACGTCGTTCAGGCGGCGGTAGTCAACACAAAACCGCATGCTGCCGTCCTTCTTCTTTACCAGCACCACAGGTGAACACCATGGACTAGATGAAGGTTCAATAACACCATCCTTCACTATTCCCTCAATCATGGTTTCCACTTCCTTTTCACGTGCTACAGGCAATCTTCTTGGCCGCTGACGAATAGGCAATTCTTCTCCTGTATTTATTTTGTGTTGAACTAAGCCAGTCTTTCCTATATCAGCTTCGTTTGACGAGAAAACATTTGCGTACTTGAGTAACAACTTCTTCGCCTTGATCATTTCATTCGGAGAGAGAACGCTGCGACAGTCTTCTAAAAGTGTGGTCACTCTCGTTTGTCCATCCTTGCTGGGGGTCCCAGTCGATAGATATTCGCACCGACGCAACCAATCCACTTCCTCACTAGTACCAACCAATGTGCCTTTTTCTATAATCTGTTCCTGATCACAAAGGTTCAACACACGTACTCCTGAGATGTCGGTGGTTCTGACCAAGGTTCGAGCCACTTTCCATGGAAGGTCATTGTCTACCCTTTCCACGAGTACACAACGATGAGCTTGTCCAGGACTCCGAGGAAGACTAACCGGCACAATCGTTTCCGATCTCGGCGGAAGAACAATCTTCTTAAGGCTGTACACATTCCCTGGTAACGCCCCTTCCATTTCCATTACCCTCTCGAGATCGATCACCTTCCCTTTCTACAGTTCGCTTAGGGCAGCTGGATCGAAGATGGCCCCTTTCTCCACAGCCGTAGCACCTAGGGCTGTAGCTTTTATTGCGGTCCTGAACTGTAGCTGCTGCAAACTCCCTGACGCGGTGGGAACGATGATCCTGCCGCACGGCTTCCACCTCCAGTGCATGGGTCAAGGCCTTCAGCGTCTCGTGGTGCCCGAGCCTCACAGCAGCTCTGACTTCAAGGTCGCGGATGCCGTCGATGAATGTCTGCACCAGGTTCCCTACAATAAGCGCAGGTACAGACTGGTACGCTTTTCGAACCAGCTTCTCCACCTCAAGGGCCCACTGCTGCAGATTTTCGTTACTGCGTTGCACGCGATCTTTGAGCTGCGCACGAAAGACGTGTTCCAGGTGAGCGTCGCCATATCTCGCCTCCAATGCCTCAAGGAGCTGCTCGTAAGTCACTTCCTTACCGAGAGCTTCCAGAACAGTTAATGCCTGGTCGCGCAGGCCTAGGGTGAGAGCAGTCATGGCCTGACTTTTATTCCAGCCGTTCGCTTTCATGACAGCCTCGAACTGGATTTTATAGGCCGACCAGGAAGAAGTCCCGTCGAACGGTGGCACTTTGAATCCACGTAGCGAAGGTGTTGTAGCTACCACGGGAGCTGTAACTCCATCCCCAATTTTGAGGTCTTTCAGCGTTTTCTTCACGTCAGCCATCACATTGTCAACCCGATTGTACACTTGGTCGATTCGGGTTTCAGCTTCCGACAGGCGGTTGTCATATTGAGCAACCTTATCCTTCACCTCACTTATTTCTTTCCCGAAGGTAGCGTGAAGGTCCTTCATGAGAAGTATCTGCTCTTCCTTATCGCGTTTGAGCTGCTCTTCCAACCGACGGCCCTGTTCCTCCTGTTGGCGGGCTTGTTCCTCCTGTCCGCGCTGCAGCTGCTCTTCCAACCGACAAGCCTGTTCCTCCTGTCGGCGGGCCTGTTCCTCCTGTCGGCGAGCTTGTTCCTGCAGCATTATCATCAGAGTACCTAAGTCAGGTGCTGCAGATGCAGGAGCTGCTGACGGGCCGGCCTCCGTGGTCGGCAACTGGCCTGCCGACGTCTGTGACGTTGCACCACCAAATCGTTTCTGGTCCGTCTCCTGTTGGCGTTGACTTCGGGTACGGATACCCTCGGTGTCGTCTTTAGGTAAAATCGGCATATTTGATCCCACTTCTGACACCAATTGTTACGAGCTTGGGGTTCGAGACAATTAAAAACTGCCGATTGAATTACCAAAATTGACACTTTAATTACACAATACTAATTACAATCTAAAATCACACTAATAATAAAACACAGTTCGCCGTTATTTCGCTTCGAAGTATTCTCTTGTATCGCCAATTCAATACTGCCTCGGTCGTGGTCTATACCGGCCTTATATAGGGCCTCAGATAGTTTCCAGAATCTTCTACTGTAGCGACATCTAGAATGTTCGAGTACATATCGGTCCCGAAATTTCTGGAAGGATCTTGACTCTTCTAGTTCTGCTACTCGACACTAGAGGGCGCTAGTGTAACTAGTGTTGCGATGTACAAGACATTAATAGTGGCGCGCAATACTTTCATTTACTCGACACTAGATGGCACTAGTGTAACTAGTGTTGCCATGTACAAGACATTAATAGTGGCGCGCAACAATATATTGTGCCACGTTGCGCGCTTAATTCCCTTGAAGTAATATTTCCATTTTCTATTTGCGTTCACTGTTTAACTCTGATAAGTCCTATTGTCTCACCACATTTACACAATAACACTGCAGGTGTTTTATTTAATATGTCTGATTTAACTTGTGACTACTAGGTTGATTCAAATTATTGTTATTAAGCAAGGGAGAAATTTTTTGTCACATCTGGCTGAAGGTTTCACAATTAAGTAATAAATAGTATTACAAATAAAGAAGTGATACACATAGAGTATTATAAGGCAACATTCTTGCTATTCATCACTATAGTAGAGAAAATGGGCCAGTTTAATATAATATTATTGTTATTATTTAAACAGGGCAGTAGTTGAAACATATGATATAAGCCTGTATCCTAGTTTCAAATATGTAATTATTGTTCTATTTTAGTTGTTTATCCAATCTGTTCTTGTATTTCTTAATGGTTTGTACAGATATCACTTCTGATGGTAGCTTATTCTATGTTTCAACCACTCTTAGGCTAAAAAAGTGCTTTTGTGGGTTATTATGTGACAAAGGTTTAGTTAATTTGAGGTGATGCCCCCTAAAATGTGTTTTTTGAGTACTGGAATAGATGGTATACTGTTATACTTATGGTATTATCATTTACATAGGTGTTCTAAATTATAGAGACTCTAACGCGACATGTCGCGTCAGTGGACTTTAACGCCAAGAGTTATAGTCGACATTGCAACAGATAACAGAAATTACCTGTGGCCGCAGTCAGAAAAAAAAATGATACAAAGGTGAAATTCAGGCAAAAATAAAATAAAATGATTACTTGTTTTTTTGATCACAGTAGCGCAAAACAGCCCAGCAGATGGCACGGAGATCCCACAAACACTTAGGATTGCACTTGAAACATTTCCAATCATCTGCTTGTTCAATTTCTTTTATTTTTGGTGTCCCTAAGTTTCTTCTGATACATCTCTAAAATTATAACAAAATGTTGAGTCGTAACAAATCGTTAATTTCCGATTTACATAATTAATATCAATATAATTTATATAAAATAAAAAAATTACCGCACAAAATACGTGGGGGCAATCAGAACAGCAATAAACTTGGCCACCTTGACCACACCATCGACAATAGAGCTCCGAACCATCATCACCTTTCTCGAATTCTCCACTATTATAAAAAGTATGGCATGAATGGCAAACAAGAGTTCGAAGCATGGGGTGCGATCGCATACGGTTTTCATTACGTGCAGCACATCCCAAATGTCGGTCACAAGCAGAACAATGTAACCTCTGAGTTTTAATGGTATTCAAATCTGAAATTAAAGTATTATATAGATATCAAAGAAAAAGAAATTGATTTATCTCATCTCCACAATTATAATATAGTTTAATAGTTGTAATCCTAAGGACACGAGTACCCTTAACAGACGAGCGTAAATGAAAAATGTGATGAGAGAATGACGCCTATGTAGGACTAATCAAAAAGCCATTTTTTTAATTTAAAACTTCCGCACGCATTTATTGTCAACACCGCGCACACTAGGCACTCGCCTAGTTTACCTTAAGGATAATCCGCTTGCTAATGCTTATTTTGTAAATATATTTTTCAAATTTTTGATCATATTCTCAGTCAAACTAGATAAGCCAACAAAAATATGAGGAAATATGAGTATTGAACTAAAAAATAATAGGTAAAATGTTTTTAAACTACCCCATTTTGGCAAACATTTTTTTTTAACCCGACAATGACCCACCGCATCCAGTTATAATATAGAGCAGTTTTACAAAATTATTATTGAGAGATACTTGTTATAATATAACCACAATTATTTAGATTGTATTATAGAACCCAAAATCGATAAACAAAAATAAATTTAATTCTTACTTTGAAATTTGAATAACAAAACACTTATATAACTTTAATTAATTGGTTGTTGTAGAAGACTTCTGCAAAAATTAAACATTACTTTTATCAGCATTTCTTTAAACATATGTACAGTATTATTCTGTAAAGTAGTGTTAACTTCTTCCATTGATTAGGTTCACCAAAACTCACTTTGACCACAGAATTGATAATAGTATAAGTACTTTGACTGATATTATGTTTAGATTCTCTTCAATATCTTTAGGATTGTATCTCAAATTGTTTGTCATTCAAATAACTATGTATTGACAGAAATAGAAGTTTCCACACCAGTTGAGCAGTTCTCAGTATACTGCTGTGTTAGGGGAAGCCCCAGTGATGGGATTAAATGTCCGTGTCAAACTATTCTCACTGATATTACTTGACAGGCGCTTTCAAGTTTTTAACTATGTTAACAGAAGTCATAGTTATTTTAACATTTTCCCCATTATTATTTAAACAATTAAAATTTTCATATATGACTCACAGGACTGTGAAATGGATTATTATTATTCGGATATTACTGTAGTTAGTTTTAAATATTATTACTATTGAAAATAATATAACATAATTATATAAAACATTTATTGGCGAATACCCCACGAAAAAACGGAGACTTTTTATATGCATATAAATGGATCAATTTCAATCTCATTCTATCATATTTCCTGTTGTTTACAATAATATGTTCCTAGTTTTTTTTTTAATATGTTAAACATTTTAATATTTATAACCCCAATTAACCACAAAGCTTTAAAATATATAATTTTGTAAAGCTACATATTTCCACGTAAAATGCGTCTGGCAAACTCAGGAAAACCAAAAAAGCTCGTAGTCATTTGTACTATATTGTAATGAACCTTCTCATTTTTGGAACTCAGTTATTAAAAATAATCAATATTGGATATAAATAAATTAAGAATGTTTTTTTTTCTTTGAAGTAGACAAACAGACTCCATGATTCAATGATGATGATGAGGATGAAATAAGATCAAAATCTATATTATTAACAGCAATAGTTTCCACTTAAAACTGACTTGCATTTTTCTAGTCCTTTAATATCACAAGTTAAGGAATTACCATTGCTTTTTTTTTAATGATAGCATGAGAATTGCATTAATACCTGTAACATATATAATACTGTACATAACATAATTTTATGGCATATTAAATATTTCTAAAGAAGTATTTTCTTACTCAATTTCTTACCTTTAAATTTATCCTTGTAATGATTCCTTTCTTCTTCTGTAATGTCATCATCAAAATCATTATCATTAGGGTCTGAAAACAAGATTTTGTTTATTCTTAAAAATTTATCATAAGATGCATTTATATATTGACCTATTAACAAATGTCATTGAATCCATGGATGATCAAAAATGACAAGGCAAAAGTGTTCAGATCAAGAACTCATAAGCTGAACTAAGAAATACTAAGAATTTTATCAGCATCTAAAGGTGGAAGTGCTCAACAAATGAAATTTGCCAGGGTATTTAAATTTAATGGGGTTAATGATAAATCAAAGCATTACAAATTATATTATTTGTTTAAGATTATTTATTTATTTTAGGTTTGGTTTTGCATGTTTATTTGTCTTTTTTAGATAATATAATGAATAATTTTATTTCGAACTTTGCTGACACAATCTTGTGAAGATTTTTCAATTTTTTCAAATTTGCAGACTGCTTTAAAGCTAAATATTTAAATAACTAATCTTAAACTATTAAGTGTTTTATACAACAACCCCATAATTATTTATAAACAATTGTAGATTTGCCATGTAGTAAGCTCCATAAGAAAATCTCCTACCCCACATCATCCCATGGATGTCAAAAAGATTTCAGGGGCAAACTAAAGCAGGAGATGGCAGCAGCAACTGCTTCCTGAAATGTTTTACTAATAACCACTATGGCAAATATCTCCCTATAGCCAATCTATGGGGGAGGGCTATGTTCAGCAGTAGACTTTTAATAGACTGTAACAGTAACTGCTTCCTGATAACAACTCGAAATAATAAAAAAAACTGCAGCTACCAAACCAAATGCCAAGCGTGGCAATTCCCTCTGAGGCAATCTATGGGGGAGGCAGTATGTTCAGCAGTACACCTTAATACTGTAATAAACAAAAAAATTAATGATATTTGGTATTCTAAATATTCAAAGGAACCTTATTAGAATGTAAAACCACAAGTGTGTAGGTCTAATAGTTTCGTAATTATGTAGCTTTGTTGGCGAAAGTAGTTCGAAATGGATGTTTTCCAATCTTAGCCGACAAGCTGCTGTGTATCTGAATGATGTAAGGTTCTATCATTTATAAGTTTATTTTGTTTCAAAAGGAATATTATGTAAAGTTGTAAATATTTTGCACTAAATTTTTGGATATCAAGTCTGTTTTATACTGTCTTTATATAATATTGCTCCTATCAAATTTCATGTTTAATATTTTTTTTTTTATGAAAACCCTTTTTGGCTTTTCAAAATATCTTCATCAAATCTTATGTTTCAATTATAAAATTAAAATATTATAGAACATCAAATTTCATAGAATTTAATTAACCCATTAGGGGCTATCAAAAGTCCACTGCTGAATATAGGCCTCCCCATAGAATATCTCATAGGTGGCCAATGTCGCCACGCTTGGCATGTGGGTAGGCAGCTACACAGTTTTTTTTATTCAGCTGTTACCTATAGTAAGATGCTTTGTTGGTGCAGTTACCTCTGCAGCTTCTTATGACACCTATTCAGTGATATGGTGTAGTGAGTTCTCTTATGTCACCACTACAATGTTAATTTAATTTAAGCTTATAGTAATGTTAAAACAAATCATCTGACCAATACCTATTACATTTGTTTGAATTGTCTTGTGCCAATAAAATAGCCACTTTGATGAATTATTTAAAATATAATTGTAACTAATTGAAAGTTGTTTCATTCCTTAGTTATGCACATGTCACTTCTATAGAAATCATATTTAAATTTTATTAGTGACAGTGGAGCTAAATCCAAGATTGTTCACCTACTGTGATTTAAAAATATTAATGTTTTTTTAAAAATTGATAAATTGTTGCAAGTATTTTGTGAACTTGTTCTACACCTTCCATCCATTTGTCAATAGGTCAATGATTCTACGTAACTTTAAGTTCTATAATTTTGAGTTTAAAGTAAAGTAATATATTATAATGTACATCCATTAGATATGAGCGCCGCCGTCGCCCTGAGTTCATGTCGACGAATAGCCGCCGCGTGGAGCACGCGGCGCGCCGTCGCGACGAGTCGCAACTTCCTTTTCCGTTCACACGCGCGGCCCGGTCGCATTAGTTTGCCTTGTCGCCTCGCCACGCTCGTCGCTCACTCAGTCCAGTCGATATTTATTCGAATATTTCACCGAATGAACGTGTATTGTTGTGTGGTGTTAACAATGGCAGCAACTTCGACTGCTGACGGTTTGAGCCGGCCCATACGTGCGGGCCGGCTCAAGCCGGGGTGGTACCACGACCTCACAGAATACCGGCGTGAAGTGGAAGATCTGCTTCTGCGTTTCGTCTGGTGAGAGCAGGAGAACCATCCCCCCCCCCCCCCACCTCCCCGGTCAACATGGTAACGGAATTAAATGTAATACTATCCCAGGAGGGTACCAGCACCCCTGGTAATGGAGAATCCCTTGCTGAGCATTCACGATCAAGCTACTCCACTCCTGAAGAGGGACTTACCACTCCTGGGTGCTCAGGCTGCCCCACGTATTATAGCGGAGGTGGGAGGGGCAAAATCCGCTCAAAACAATAACTGCTCGGGGCAAGCTGAGCAACAAGGCCAAGGCGACCCCTGCCACGTGACTTTCTGCAACATCAGGGGACTTCACTCGTACTTAAATGCTGTCCCCTACCATCTCTAGACGGCGAAGCCGGCTTTGCTCTTTCTGACAGAGATGCAGGTGTCCTCTCCGGCCGATACTTCGTTTCACTCCTACCCGGGGTACAAATTGGAACACTCCTTGTGGCTCGGGCTCGAGTTTGCGTATACATCAGAGAGGACATATGTTCTCGATGCCTCGGCAGTCTTGAAGGACCTGTTCAACATTTGGTTACGCGAAGACAGCGACGACCGTCCGCATGTTTACGGGTGCCTCTATAGGTCCCATAGCGGTAATGCTACAGCAGATCCCATCCGCAGAGATTGTGATCCTCGGCGATTGTAACCACGCCGAATGGTTCGGTTCATGTTTAACCGATCATGCGGGAAGATCTGTTCATGATTTTGCCTTTTTTTTTTATAGGATAAGGGTGACAAACAAGTACACAGTCCACCTGATGGTAAGTGGTTGCTGTGGCCCATAGACATCTACATCTATCCTCTATTAAAAATCAAAATGCAGATGCGTTGTCACCCGTGAGGACTAAGATAGAATGCCTCATTTCCAGAAAAAGGGTCTCCGGTTCTCTACACTCACCATACGAAACACAGCAGCGTAAAGCTGCTATTTTACGTTGGTATTCTATGAGAGCGTGGTCCTTCCCCAGTCGAGCTGACTCATTCGTGCTACAACTATACTACTAATACAGCTACAGCATGGCTCTACCACGTATAATATTGCCTTGGCATATGGTCACATAACTGGTAATTTCGCCTACGCGTATTTCAGATGTGGAAGATCATGCACCTTCCCTGTTGGACCTTTTGCTGACCTCCAATCCAGATGGATATCAGGTCTCCGTCCACTCCCCTCTTGGCTCCTCAGATCATTGTCTAGTCCGGAGTGTGGTGCCACTCACACTAACATCGCGATTGCATTCTGCGGGCTGGCTAAAGAGGCGACCGCTCACACCCGTCTAGCAATGCCTATCGCCATCACCTTGTTCTCCAAAATAATGGAATCCATTATAAACTGCCAGCTCATGTGGTATCTTGGTCTACCTGACTCATATCATATCATGACTGATGGGCGGAGGTATAAGAGTCCAAGGGCAGGCATTGGCTGTTAGTTTGGGCATTGTAAAAGCCTTCGACCGAGTTTTGACACAAAGTGCTTCTTTCGAAGCTCCCTTTCTATGGTCCTCCTGAGAAATTGTGCAATTGAATCACCAGCTTTCTTGCAGATTGGAGTATCTCCTCAGTTTCAAGGCACTCCCCTTGTTGCCTCTGCCAGTATCGGAATCCTCTGCATCGACATATCGAGTGACATGCAAGTTTCGTGATCACTATGAAGATAAGGCCAAATTGGCCTCTAAAACGCTTTGCGTGCTCAGCAGAACAGGACAGTATTTCATGCCAGCACACCGCTTGCAACTTTACAAGGTGCAGGTTCGGCCTCACATGGAATACTGTTCCCTTCAATGGGTTGGGGTTCCCCAGGGCTTTATTAAAAAATATAAAGCTGTTTTTGGTACCAACAATTCGGTCTTCTTTAAGTTTTTTTTAAGAAATCTCTTCCTGATAAAACAATATGTAAGGCCTTTGGCCTACGGCTCTCATATCTAACATCCATACAACTTAATCTATAGAGATTTTATTTTGCTTTTGATGACTTATTAACATTAACATGTCCATTTAATAAATATTATAATTTTAAAATAAATTCAAATTGCATTATGAAATACAAATTATTAATTTCAATAAGTAATTTATATAGATCATTCTTTCTTTCAAGTTATTCATAAACTACACCGCTATCTATTTTAATGACATCATTTTCTTAGACTTAAGTTGCTGTAAAATTATTGTAACAAAATAAAAGTATTATACAAATCACTGTTATAAGCACTAGCGGTTTTGTTGGTGGCTTTTTTTTTTAATTAAAACATATCATTACAAATCAAACATTTAGCTAATTTATTTTAGCAAAGTACTAGACTTCAAACAGGTGTAGAAAAAGTAAAAGTTAAAGTTTTGAATGTGTAAATTATAATAGTTATTAATCTTTTATAATGGATTTCATTTAAATGTGCTTTAATTATAGGCCCGAATCTGGTAACCAACTGTTGTTGGTTATTGTTTTATTTACATAATTCTGACATATAATATTAAAAAGTTGTGTATTGCTGTCACTTCATAACTTCATATCTAAAGAGAAAATATTGTCTGTGTCAAATTTTACTCGCGAAATATTATTGTTAACAAAATACTTTTAAATTATACATAATATGTGCGAAATGTAATGAACTTGTATCTTATTCAATAAAGTTTTTACGATTCAATGTATTTCTATCCAGATATTATTACAAAATAAACTAGCGACAATGAGACAACATACCTGGGAAGGGCGGGAATTTAACTTCGACATTATCTTGAACCGGCTTTTCAGATTCAGCAGAAATCTCACTTGCAGATTCGTTCATCGTGGAATTGGCTGTTCAATCAATAACACTACACTTCACTGGATGTATACACTGGTTTATAAGAGTAAATGCGTTATATAGCGAATTTCAATTATATTACAAAACTATAGGTATTCTTAAAATATTAAATGCGGTTACAAATAAGAAATTCGGCCATTTTGGCAAGTACACTATACTACTTTCATTACAATAAGTGTTGCCAACAGTTAAAGTTAAACTTGCTCTCCACCAGATTCAACTTCTAAAACCACTATAATAAAGCGACCCTACTCTCATAATCCCTAAATTTTCCATCAAACAATTTTTTGTTTATAACGAAATAAAACGGTAGGTATATTAATTAGTAATTGGTTGTTAGTAATTTCATAGTGTGTAACAAAACTTTAAATCGTGTAAATAACCTATCAATCAACATACAATTAGTAAATCAACAAGTCAACACCAAGAATATAAAGACGGGTCCATGACGCGGTAGCTTATTAATGAATTCCAGCGTTGAGGACCGCGGGTTCAAATCCTGTACACAACAAGTATTTGTGTGGCCTGCAAATAATTGTTGCGGGTCGTTTGTCCTTGTCAAATTTATGTATGTACATGTAAGCTACCCCTACGATACAGGAGAAAATCCTAATATTGAGGTAACGTTATTCAAAAAAGAAAACATGTGTGCACATAGTTTCACGCCATTTTCGTTTAAAAGGTAAAGAAATTTTATCGAACAAAAATCGATTGACTCTAAACGTGGTACGTAAAATAGACGCTAGATGACCTGAAGTTATAAAATCGTGGATAAATACAGTGGTAGAGCCACGCGGCAGCTTTTGCTGTCGCACGGATGGGCCGGCTCGAACCGGGGCGGTACCACGACCTCACAGAAAACCAGCGTGAAGTAGAGGTTTACCTCTGCGTTTCGCTTGGTGAGTGCAGGTGGCCGGAGGCCCATTTTACTGGAAATGAGGCATTCCATCTTAGTCCTCACGGGTGACAACGCATCTACATTTTGTAGATGTAGATGTCTATGGGCCGCAGCAACCACTTACCATCAGGTGGACTGTGTGCTCATTTGTCACCCTTATCCTATAAAAAAAAAATAGCGAAAAATACTAGAAATAGTATTTTTTTAAGAAAAAAATCACGGTAGTTTAAAGGCGGATTCGAATCCTCAACCTTTTAGTTTACGGTCTACACTGTATTCTATCTCATTCTCTCGCAGGTTAAATCATCATGTATCAATTACGATGTATTCACTTCAAAAAAAACAATACATATTATTTATTCAAGTGTTATTTTAAAATTAAACGTCTCATTAATAAATATCATTTTTGTCGGCAGCATCATCATCCTTACAATCGTAACACAATATTTGCATCTCGCAAAAAAAAATAAGAGATAATACTTTAAATGTGGGTCATGAAACCAAAAACCCCGAAACCTTTGCGAAAACCAAAAACCCCGAAACCTTCATTTATACCTATCCAAGTTTTTGATTAGTTTTAGTAGTGTTTTATTTGACGTGTAACAAATTTATTTAAATTGGATAATGAAGCAAAAATCAAGTGCCATTTGGAATTATTTCAATGAAATTTCTGAGAATATGACAAAGTGTAAACTATGTGAGAAGATATATTCACGAAAGGGAGGTACGACTACTTCCTTAAAAAGTCATTAAGTCACTGAATTCGAAGAATTCAAAAAATTTGAAACTGAAAAGAAAAATACTGTGTAATAGACCTGCCCTTAACTCATCTCTTCTGCCTCCACCTCCGATTCCGGTTCCGATTTCGGTTCCGGTTCCGACAAACAAAATTTAAAAACTCCGCTTCCGAATTCGGTTCCGATATAACCACTTCCGTAACATCCCTATTGTCTACACAGTAAAAATAAATACTCCAGATATGAAGTAGAAATATTTTTCGAAACGTATAAATGGCGTAATGGCTAAGTGATCATCTTTCCACTAATCGAAACTGAATTCTATTAATCTACTAGATTTCAAAAACCACTAGCCACTATAAGCAATATTACTTCACTAGATGCGGGGGTCAAAAATACCATTTTTAGTGGGAAATCACCTGAGTTGGCAACATTTACAATACAGTAGCTATTAAGGTTCAGCTTCAGTTCAGTAGTTGCACCACAGATACAAAAATAATATGGAACCAACCAATGGATGATCATGATAATCGATTTTAAGAGAAAAATATCGATGTTTTTATATGATGATGCTCTGTGACAATGGTGTGTTGTATTTTCCTTAAAATAAAAATAAGACCTTAAAATAATGATTTTAATACCCAAATACTCAAATGCTACTCAATTTAAAGATATCGTCAAATCGAGTGCTATCTGTATCACTTTAAGTTAAAGTAACTGTGACATCACGAGACTTAAATTGAGTAGCGTTTGAGTATATAAGTGTTCAAAAACAACCGTAAATACACGCACTGCTCATGAAATAATTGTTGTAATTCTAAGGAAAATGCTAAGTCATTGTCAGCATATTGTATTTTCAGTGGTTCTTAATGTGTTTGCAAAATTTCAGATTATTAAAGAAACGTGTAAAAAGCGTAGACAAAGTATTGAGGTATACAGTCTAGCGCAACTTCCATAGTAAAAATAAATATATGAAACGGGTACCAATTTTAATGCTATCACTTTTTTTTTCCAACTTTTGAATTCGAGTTCAAAGTTGGGTTTCGTTTAAATTTTTGCCTTGACTGCCTTGTTTACCGTGTTAAGTGTGAATTGTTACTGCAAATAAATTGAGGATGCCAGGTCTAAACGCCACCCAAGTTACTAGGGCTATTACTTTATTTAAAACTGGGCACACCTACAAACAAGTGGCCCAAACATTACTAGTATCAAAATCTATGGTACACAGAGTTGTCAAGAGGTATCGGCCAGGCCTGATAGTATACCAGACTCTCAGGACAGGGAAGTAAACGGAAAACTGAGGACAGAGATGACCGTTTCATCGTTACCAGCGTACTTAGAAACCGAAAAATTCTTCTGAGGTAAAATAGAAGCTCCAAGTTCAAAGGGTTACAGGTAAGCACAAAAACTGTGAGAAAAAGACTGAAATCGGCCGGAATATATTCACAACTGCCTGCCAAATGCTCCCTTCTTACCACATGCCATCGAGTAGCTCGAGTTAATTTTACTCGCATTCACGAAAATTGTAAGGACGAAGCTTGGAGTCAATTGCTATTCACAAATGAGTCCAAATTTTGCCTTAAGTCAGATCATGAAAGGATTAAAGTGTGGAGATGCCCGGAAGAGAGGCGCAACATCTAAGTGCAACATCATTGGAAAGGAGACATATAGTGGAGGGTCAGTTAAGGCATGGGGGCACGTACGCACCTCCGCATCATTGAGAATGTGTTACTGACAGCGGCACGATATGTAACTGAGATTTTGGAAGAAATTGTAGCGCCATTTGCCCCTTATATAGAAGATTTGTTTTAAGCATGACAATGCACGGCCGCAGTATGAGGAAACGAGGCGTTGGCCGTTAGTTTGGACATTGCGAAGGCCTTCGATCGAGTTTGGCACAAAGCGCTTCTTTCGAAGCTCCCTTCCTATGGGCTTCCCGTGAAATTGTGCAATTGGATCACCAGCTTTCTTGCAGATCGGAGCATCAAGGTCGACGGTGACGGTAGACGGTGCATGTTCCGACTACAAGCCTATTAACGCTGGTGTTCCACAAGGCTGTGTGCTATCACCAACGCTGTTTCTTCTGCATATTAATGATATGTTGCTAACTGGTAACATTCATTGCTATGTTCCAGTAAATGCACGTCGCTTGGAGAAATTTAGAAGTAACATAGTGAAAAAACTTCCATCACTTTCATACTAAAATGATCCAAATTTTTTGTATGGAACATTATTTAAGCTTATTTGCAATGAATTTAATAATACTTTTACTTCTAAAACATTCGCCTTGAACAGTCGGAAGTCATTTAATGAATGGGCGACAGTAGGAGTCCATAAGAGCAGACATAGGTTATATGATCTTTACCATGAAAGGTCATATAATCATAGCGTCGAATTTAGGGGATATGTATTCAAAAATATTTAAAAGAGTGTGCTCCACAGCCAAGTCTTTACATTTGAGCAACAAAACTAAGACGGCTTCTAATAAAATTATACACATGGAGTATAATTAATAGCGAATCTGGTAAGATCAACTCTCGCGATTCAAACTACCAGTTAAGTGTTAACAACAAATTAACCGAATCAGATCAGGACGTTGCAATGGTTTTTGAGAAATATTTTACTGATATTCCGATATTAACCACTAAGTCACTGAATTCCTCTCCTGCCGTCGCCGAATCATTACTTAAACAAAATGTAAATGCGTGTACAAAGAATTTTACATTTCATAAAGTATCATCAAAAGATATTGTAAAATATATTAAAACTATTGATGTTAAGAAAACTGCGGATCTGTGGTGGATTTCCGTTAAAGTTATTGAGTCTATAATAGATACAATTGCGCCTCATTTAGCTATCATTTTTAATACTAGTATCGAGTCTGGTGTCTTTCCTGATTTAATGAAGTATAGTAAAGTAATACATTTATTTAAATCTGGTAGTACATTAGACCCCGCCAATTTTAAACCTATTTCTGTACTACCAACACTTAGTAAGATTTTTGAAAAAAACATTCTTGATCAAATGTTAAATTTCTTTAATATAAATAATTTACTTCATATAAATCAATTTGGTTTCACAAGGGGTCGCTCGACAAGTGATGCCAGTGTTGAGCTGATTAAATATATTTTAAATGCATGGGAGAATTCACAGGATGCTTTGGGTATACATAGGCTGCACTAAAAGTATCGTGAATGGAATATATCCACTGTTCCTGTCATATTAAAATCTTTTTAATTGAAAACTCCTTGGTTTTAAAAATCGAATAGGTACCATGTATTTATTTAAAAAAAGATTCTCGGTCTAGTCACAAGGTTTTGTCAAACTTGTTTAGTCGTTGAGAAAAT